AAGTGTCCACCAGGGTATATGTATACCATGGAATATTATGGAGCCAGTAAAAAAGATGGAGACTTTACATCTTTTACATTTACCTGGATGGAGTTGAAATACATTCTTCTTAGTAAAGTATCACAAGAACGGAAAGATGAATATCCAATATACTCCATATCAATATATAAACAATTACATGTTCCTAAGAACAATAAAAAAACTATTATAGTCCAGTTTGGGAGTAAAGGGAAGTTGGAGGGAGTAGAGCGAAGGAGGTATGGCAAAAGGAAGGAGGGCAGGAGGCGGGATCTCATCTAATATGCACCCTGTGAGGGTGTATAACATGCCCTCTGGGTGAGGGGCTCTCCTACAAATGGAAATTTACCCTGGAAGTGAGAACAATGTAACCTAAATGTTGTACCCGCTTATTAATTTGAATAAAGTTAAAAAAAAAAACAAACCGAATAAGGGCAGGCAGCCTTGGCCAACAAAGGTAAGATGACTTCAGTCGAAACTACATATAGCTTTTGGCTCGGCGCCTATAGCTCAACCGGCTAAGGCACCAGCCATGTACACCTAAGGTGGCGGGTTCGAATCCCCAGCCCGGACCCGCCGAACAACAATGACGGCTGCAACCAAAAAATAGCCAGGCGTTGTGGCGGGCGCCTGTGGTCCTAGCTACTTAGGAGGCAGAGGCAGGAGACTCGCTTGAGCCCAGGAGTTGGAGGTTGCTGTGAGCTATAAGGCCACGGCACTCTACCCAGGGTGACAGCTTGAGGCTCTGTCTCCAAAAAAAAAAAAGAAACTACATATAGCTTTTTTCCCTGATGATATCCATTTCTCCCCTATAAGCAGAAGTTAAAATATCACTTAATCACTGTTTAATCATTCTCTATAAGTTCACTGCAGTTTAACTCCTTATTTTTCTGGCTGTTTCCTGCATGCTTCGAAAAAACCCTAGAAAGCAATGAAAGAGACCATCGAGAGGTGGTTAAAGCTGACAAGAAAGCAGAAAATGTTCAATAAGCCTAAGTCTCCAAAACTACTTCATCAGTAGGAAGTTTTATACTAAGGTCACAAGCCACCTGTTCCCTTGGTTTTCCAATCTGGCACCTAATTCATGCCATGGCCATGCCTCATGAAGGGATTTCAGGAGTGACATGCCAGACCAGAATTTCACTCCTGGGGGTCAGAACTTTAAGACTGCTGGAATGTGCCTAGTAAAGACATGGGGTGTCTGGACAGCTGAAAGCCTCCACGGGGGAATTTGGTATGAACAACTGCTTTCCCGCAACCCTGGGTTATGAATTTAAAAATAAATCTCAGTGAGCCTCATGCCTTAAGAATCATTTGGGAAAGAACTTTGCTGAATCCAGCAACTATGTGTCCCACTGGGGTGAACCACAGAGAAGGGAAAAGAGAAATACTCTTCCTATCCCTCTCAAAGAACATAATAGGACAGAAAGACAAGGAGAACCCCAAATTGGCTTCCTCAAGAGCAAAGGCATATATAAATACCAGATATCTCTGTTTCTTGTATTTTCAGATTTCAGAAAGGGTATTAATACATGTATGTCATCTGTGTGGAGACTGTGTTCAGTATGTAAAAATATTTTTAAAAAGAAAAACTACAGGCTCAGTGGCTAGGGTGCTAGCCACATACACCAAGGCTGGCAGGTTCAAACCCAGCCCTGGCCTGCTAATCAACAATGACAACTACAACAAAAACTAGCCAGGTATTGTGGTGCCAGCTACTAGGGGCTGAGGCAAGAGAATCACTCAAGCCCAGGAGTTTAAGGTTGCTGTGAGTTGTGCTGCCACGGCACTCTACCAAGGGTGACATAGTGAGACTCTGTCTCAAAAAAGAAAAAAAACCCTACAATGTAAATGTCTAGTCCCAGCTACCTGGGGCTGAGGCAAGAGAATCAATCACTCAAGCCCAAGAGTTTGAGGTTGCTGTGAGTTGTGCTGCCACGGCACTCTACCAAGGGCGACATAGTGAGACTCTGTCTCAAAAAAGAAAAAGAAAAAGAAAAACTACAATGTAAATGTCAAGTAGTACACTAGCTGGACTTCATGGACTCCCTGTCTTACTAAGGAGAGGGATACATAACCTCATGGTCCTCTCCTGGAATTTGTAAATAGAAGGCAGTGGGGAATAAATGTTTCCCTGACAGCCTAGGTTCTATGGAAATCCCCTTCTCAGTGATCCCATTTCTCACTTCATTGAAATAACTACCACCCCGATTCTTGGAAATTGCCATTTTGCTTAGTTCAATGGAGAGCTTTATTGCCATGGCAGAGCAGCTTTTCTTTGGAGCCAAATAGCTACAGGGTTTCAGCATTATGTTCACCCAAATGATTCTTAAGATTCAAGAGTCACTGAGAACGGCCTAAGGGCACTTCAGAAGGGGATGGCTCTCCCATTCACTACAGCTACTGGTAGAGATAGCAAAGTAAACAGTACACAGAGCAAAACTGAGGTGTTTCCACAAAGTCACCTCTTGTGCTGATGGTTATACTACCACTGCCAATTAGAAACTAGGCATGGGGGCTGGGCATGATGGTTCACACTTGTACTTGTACTCTGCAAGGCGAAGGCAGGAGAATCCTTCAAGCTCAGGAGTTTAAGACCAGCCTAAGCAAATCAAGACTTTGCTTCAACTAAAAATAGAAAAATTAGCAGGGTGTGGTAACAAGTACCTGTAGTCCAGCTACTTGGGAGGCTGACGCATGAGACTTAAACTTCTGCTTAAGCCGACAAGTTTGAGGTTGCTATGAGCTAGGCTAACATCATGGCACCCCAGCCTGGGCAACAGAGTAAGATACTATCTTTAAAAGGGGAGGGAAAGAAAGAAGGGAGGGAGAGAAGGAGGGAAAGAAGAAGGGAGGAAGGAAGGGACTGTAATCCTACCTCCTTCAATGAATATAAACACCCCATTACCACCACCACTCTCTCCATTAGCAATAAAAATATTGTAAATGATACATAGAGCAGCTCCTGGAGCTCTCTCTGATGGTCCCTTTCTGAACAGCAAAATGATGACAGCCAGGTACTGATGCAGATATATGCACATTAGGAATCAAGCTGGAAACCTCCTGCCGTAGAAATACTAGTTAGGGGCTCGGTGCCTGTAGCTCAAGCAGCTTAGGTACCAGCCACATAAACCGGAGCTGGCAGGTTCGAATCCAGCCCAGGCCTGCCAAACAATGACAACTACAACCAAAAAATAGGCGTGCGCCTGTAGACCTAGCTACTTAGGGAGGCTGAGGCAAAAGAATCACTTATGCCTAGGAGTTGGAGGTTGCTATGAGCTGTGATGCCACAGCACTCTACTGAGGGCAACAAAGCAAGACTGTCTCAAAAAAAAAAAAAGAAAAGAAAGAAAGAAAGAAAGAAATACTAGTTAGTTGGCCAGCAAATTGTTAGGTGGTCCAACATCCTGAGGCACCACAAATAAATCATGCCTATTAAAGCTGTTTTGTAGAAGCATTTCAACTGTTGATATTTTTGTTGCTGTTCTTGTTAGTTTTGTGGGGGTTTTACGGGGCAAACAAGAAAAATATAGTTTTCTTCCTTAGGATTAAAAAAGCAAGGACAATGTGATGTTTTACACAAACAAAGGCTAAAGAAGCTGGACAACACTTAAGGAACAGGCAAGGCTGCAAAGAGTCACATGCCTCTCCCAGCTAGAAGGTCCTGTGTATGCCCGAAAACACAGACCTGCTGAGTCGTTTTGACTCACATGCAACAAGGGCTACCTTTTGCAAATCATTTTTCTTCTTAGTTATATTTTCCCTGATATCCCCACTGCTCAAAGGGGAGATTTTAAAAAGAAAACATATGAGGGCCAAGCACGGTGTCTGTAATCCCAACACTCTAGGAGGCCGAGGCAGGTGCATAGCCTGAGCTCACAGGTTGGAGACCAGCCTGAGCCAGAGGGAGACTTTGTCTCTAAAAATAGCCAAACATTGTGGCAGGCGCCTGTAGTCCCGGCTACTCAGGAGGCTGAGGCAAGAGTTTGAGCCTAAGAGTTTAAGGTTGCTGTGGGCTATAATGCCATAGCACTCTCCTGAGGGCCACAGAGGGGGGCTCTGACTCAAAATAAATAAATAAAATAAAAATAAAACATATGGAAAATTATTTCGTTTAATGCTTACCAATAGCTCCTAGAAGTAAGTACAGGAAAGGCCAGGTGTGGTGTCTCACACCTATAATCCTGGTACAATGGGAGCTGAGGCAGGCGGATAGCTTGAGCTCAAGAGTTCAATACCAGCCTGAGCTAGGGTGAAACCTCATCTCTACTAAAAACAGAAAAACTGAGCAGGCATCAAGGAGGTGCCTGTAGTTCTAGCTACTTGGAAGGATAGGCAAGAGGATTGCTTTAGCCCGAGAGTATGAAGTTATTGTGATCTATGATGTTGCCACCACACTCTATCCAGGGTAACAAAGCTCCAAAAAAAAAAAAAAAAAAGGAAGAAGAAGAAGAAAGAAAGAAAAAAAGAGGAAAAAGAAAAAGAAAAAGGGAAGAAAGGGCATTAAAAACTCCATTCTGTTTCTGGCTATATCTTTCACTAAGTATAACTGGCCTTTGATCCCTGAGAAACACCACCTACCCTATTCCAGAACCAAACTATCATTTGTGCCTTGTATTTTGGAATTTTCTCAAGGTCTCAGTGAATAACAGCTCTATCTCCTCCAGTTCTGTGACCAAATCAGGACATGAGAAATCATAGCCTCACTGAAGATATCTCTTCAGATATGTATAGTAACTCCTTTTCTCCTGCTAAATCAGGGAATTGTGAACCCCTTGAAAGGAGGGATTATGTCTATTCCCAATACCCAATCCTGTGCCTTACAAAGAGCGGAATTCATTAAATGTATGTTAACTTTAACTACCTCTGCCTTCTAGTTAATTCCCTACACTAATCATCACCATCCTAGAACTATGGCAACCAATCTCTCTTTTCTCAAACCCTAAGCCAGTGACAGCAACATAGCTCCTGGAAGTTACAACATAGCTCTAGGTCTCTATACCAAAACTGGAACAATACAGAGAAGATTAGCACGGCCCCTGCACAAGGATGACATGCAAATTCGTGAAGCATGCCATACTTTTGGCTCAGCACCCATAGCTCAGTGGGTAGGATACTGGCCGGTTCAAATCCAGCCAGGGCCTGCTAAACAACAACTACGACAACAACAAGCTAGGTGTCGTTGTGGAGGGCGTTTATACTCCTACCTACTGGGGAGGCTAAGGCAAGAGAATTGGTTAAGCTATGACGCCACAGCACTCTGCTGAGGGTGACAAAGTGAGACTTTTTCCAAAAAAAAAAAAAGACTTCATTTCTAACTGACCTAACACAAGTAAAAATTTTCTACCAAAAAATAACCTAAAAGAGTAAGAAAAAGGAAAGAAAGGGCCTTAGATGCAAAGGGTGAGAATCATCAGTTAGTAGAGGATCTGAGAGAAGGAAAAGTAGAAGCTATGACTACAGAATTTAAATGAAGAGGACTATTAAAAATCTTCCTCTCTCACTCTCAATCTCCCTTTAAAGAATTCTGAACACTGAAAATAATTAAGAAATGGAACAGGCAGACACGCAAATCACAGTTCTGGGTAAGAGAAGAATTGCTGAGTGCTATAAAGTGGACTTAGAAGAATAAACTAAAGATTTTTAAAAGGGAAAAAGAAATAAGAAAAACAGAAACCAGAAAAGAAAGATATAGTAGAATCAACTCACACACACACACACCTATGCAAACTTGACCGCGCGAGAAAACAACTTAAACAGTACAGAGATTCACTTACAATTCCACTCAATGAGGTTTTATGCCAAGGTGTGATTATACCAGGGTGAACACAAAAGAGGACTTGAGTCTGAGACTCCAGCGAGTTTCTGTTCTCAGGAGCCTCTTCACATTCTGAGCACCCTGTACACTGAATATGATTCTATTATAGTTTTTGAGAATACTTATTTTTTATAATGTCTCTAAAAGCCAACTATTTTATATGGTATTCTAACTCTGTCCTAGCATTTAAAAAAAAAAAAACATGTTTATATACTTTGATTTCTGGGTAAAGACTTTTTTATTTGAGACAAAGTTTCACTATGTCACCCTTGGTGGAGTGCTATGGCGTCATACCTCACAGCAACCTCAAACTCTTGGGCTTACTTGATTCTCTTCTCAGCCTCCCAAGTAACTGGGACTACAGGCGCCGACCACAATGCCTGGCTATTTTTTTGTTGCAGTTGTCATTGTTGTTTAGCTGGCCTACGGTGGTTTCGAACCAGCCAGCCTGGGTGTATGTGGCTAGCACCACTGTGCTACATGAGCCGAGCCTAAAGACTTTTTCTTTTCTTTTTTCTTTTTTTTGAGATACAGTCTAACTCTGTCATCCTGGGTAAAGTGTTGGGGTGTCACAGCAACCTCAAACTCACAAGTGATCCTCTTGCCTCAGCTTCCCAGGTAGCTAGGACTATAGGTGCCTGCCATAAAGCCTGCTATTTTTTAGAGATGGGGTCTTGCTCTTGTTCAGGTTGGTCTTGAACTCCTGAGCTCAAGCAATCTACCCACCTTGGCCTCCCAAAGTATTAGGATTACAGATGTGAGCCACCATGCCTGGCCCACTTAAAGATATTTTTCAGTGATAATTTTGGTTATTTAGAATTTTTACTTTATGTGCAAACTTTGTTAACTTAATCCTCATAGAAGGTAAAATGAGACTTTACCCTATAGGACAGAACGGGGTGGGGGTGGGAGAAAGTTAGAAAGGCAGACAAGAAAGTGCTTCCTAAAAGCTAAAGACAATACAGTAAAGGGCAAAAAAGAGACAAACCCCAAATTTCTGTGCCACTTCCATAGCCATTCCCAGCAATTTGGAAAGAAGGTGACAGCTTATAAAACTGTCCAGAGGTTTGGGGCAGGTCATTCCACACATCCCTTACTTATGGCCAGGGAAACGAAGTAGCCAGTATGCCAAAACTCTGGCATAAAGAGAAAGGTTAAGTAACTTGCTCCCAATTAATGACTCTTCTGACTTGGTAGTAAAGTCCCTGGGACCAGACCTGCCCTAAGGATGCCTCCTTTTCCTACCAGGATGCCTCCTGCTTCTCTTACTGCTAGAGGACAAGGGGACTCTTCTCTATAGCTTGGTTTGGGCTCTCCTGAGGCACAAGAAGCACTACTGTCCTCAGACAAAGACTGAGAAAGTAGGCAGTGTTCTGGAGTCATGACCCACCCCCACCCTGCTTTTGCCAAAGAGAAACTTCCTCAATAATGAAATTGATTCCCTTGCTGAGACTCAACTAAGAAGACACAGGGTCTCTAAGATGTGACCACATGGAGAACAAACGTTTCCCTTTGCCTCTGACTAATAAAACAATCATGCCTAATGGGAATGTTTGCCTCCTTTTCATTCTAGGAAAACAAAGGGCTAACTTTGCTAACCCTAAAAAGTCACGTTTAGAATTCATAATCAGAAAAATAAAGCTATACTCAGCCATTTGCCATAGAGAGTAGTAGTAATATTTACTGGGAGGAGTACTTACTATGTGCCAAGCAATGTGCTAAATACTTTTTCACAAATCAACTCACTCAATTCTCATAACCCTACAAAAAAAGGTACTATTATAATCTTCATTTTATAGATGCAAAACTCTGGCATAAAGAGAAAGGTTAAGTAACTTGCCCCAAATCACATTAAGTGACAGACTAGGATTCAAGGTCAGATTAGTAGTGCAGGTCCTTTAGGAGTTACTATTTTGGGTGGATTTCATAAGAGTGGAAGAAAGAAAGGCTAGTAAAAGCAATAACAAAAAAAGGGACAGATTTTTGTTGTTGCTCACCTCTGCACAAAGATGTAGCAAAACAAGATTAAGCCTTTCCTAGTTCAATTTAACTATCTTTCCTTCTCCCAGACCCCTCAGACATAGCACCTTCAGAGGCTCTGGAGTCTTCCCACAGCAGCTTAAGGAAAAGGGGGGAAAAAAATGAAAGGCCTTAATCAAAAGCCCTTTTCTTCTAGCAAACAAAAGGCCTTGGTATTTCCACAGACAGACTAGTTATTCTTAACTCTAACCAAGGATTCTTTGGCAGAGAAAGAAATATGAAAATGTTAGGCTTGTGGGAATGGCCTGTGCTTTGGGCTTTTGTGTCCCACTCAGTAAAGTCAGCCCACTGAAAAACAAACACAGCCCTAACCCCTCAGTAACTCTAGGTTGTCAGTTAACTCAAGGGGAGAGGAGGCTCGGCACCTGTGGCTCAAGCGGCTAAGGCGCCGGCCACATACACCTAAGGTGGCGGGTTCAAATCCCCAGCCCGGGCCCGCCGAACAACAATGATGGCTGCAACCAAAAAAAAAAATGGCCGGGCGTTGTAGCGGGCGCCTGTAGTCCCAGCTACTTGGGAGGCTGAGGCAGGAGACTCGCTTGAGCCCAGGAGTTGGAGGTTG